ACTAAAAAAGTTGCTTCTCTGCATATTCATTCATAAATATGACTCAATTTTAAGTTGACCAAAACAAAATTTAATTTTTAACAAATGAGCATGCAACCAAGTTCAAAAGGTCTCAGCATGTGCACATAATGCTTTTGTTGTTTATTGTTGACCCTACAGTTTGTGTATTTACATTCAAATCCAGCCTAAATTCACTTAATTTGTTTCTTGTAAATGGTTATATTTATTTTTCAGCTTTAGATAGAAAAGCAAAAGGATTATGTAAGAAAAAGTTTACGACATTTGTATGGTAAATATTTACTCTTTTTCTTTGATACATGCAGCACTTCCAACATCATGCAGTATTGCTCAGAAAAACCTGTTAGTATTTTTACATGCAAATGCAGGAACCAATAAATGCTAGCGTCCTTTCTTTGTTTCAAGTACCATCATAAATATTTCCGTGGAAGTTCAAAAATTATATGTTAAAGATTTTAGCCATTCTTTTTTTAAAATAGCTTTGCTTACTTTTCACTGTACATGTATTTAAATTCTAAATATCCATAATGTATGCATGTATTTACATTCTTTTGGACCAGTTTAAAGCAAATAGATATGTCAGTAAACTACAACAATTAAAAAAACTTGGCCTTTTTATTTCATCACTAATACTGATATGGGTTGTGCACATTACATAATGAACAGATCCTTTTGTCACACAAAAGTTTTGTACCCAGATTGCTATAGCCTTTCTTACCTATTACAATCTTTACTTGTAACCTGGTCTAAAAATTGGTGTTGAGATTTCATTGCTGAAGAAAGCATAATTCTTGTAATAATTTCCTTATTTTGTATTTTATACTTATTTTTTGTCTGCATATGTCACCTCTGTTCTGCATGAAAAGAATTTTAAATCTTTTATGGTTCTAATTATTATTCTTTCTCTTTTAAAAAATGAGTGGTGCATGTTTACACATCAAATGTGGATCTCATTATTTTTAAATGTTAGGCTCACCAGGCCATATGGTCATCTGTATACAATACATTATCCATCAAAAGTTGCTTTTAACGGCTTCATAAAAAACCACTGAACCAATTTTCAATGTGTACATATGCAAATCCTCAACGAAATATTGCTACCATTTATAAAATTAGAAAACCTTTACAAGGCTTCTCAAAAACTGCTGAACAGAATTTGATTGACAGAAAGGAACCTGGCATAAAGGGATTTCAGTTTTGAACAAATCCACCATCAAATATGGTCCCTGTTACTAGATGTAGAAGCACCTTGAATGATTTCATAAAATTTTCTGAACAGAATTTGTACAAATTACATTGATTCAATCAAATACGACTGTTGTTATGAAAAAAGAAAAACCTTTGAACAACTGAAACTGATCCAAAGAAAATGACCAAATTCGATTCTTAAGCTTACCTGGCATGAAGTGTGATGGAGTTTTGCTATCATACATTGAATGAAAATGCATCCTACTGATTCAAATTTCTGTTGTATTTGGCTTGGCCCATATTGACCAGGTGAGTGAATTCATACCGATGTCTCGTGTTTTGTTATTCTTGTGTGCTTATTTTTCAGCTTTGATTTGTATCTGATCAGAGCATTAAATTTAATGATGTAATTATTTTCCCTCGGTTTCTGAGGCAATCCTGAAAGCAAATAAAGTGAATGCATTATATTTTCTCATTTCATCCTTGATACTCTTCATTTATTTGTTTGTTTTCATACATATACTTGATTATGTTTTTTTTTTGAAAGTTGTGTATCAGTTTCCGATACAAAAAAAAAACGTATATACACATACATCAAACAATACAAATGGAACATGCATTCATCACATTAACAGAATATCATTGTTTTTTGGTTTGGTTCCTCTGCATTGCCTTTATTTTTACATAGGTTGATATTTAATGTAGAGGAGATATTACTAAACTAAGTTAATATTGTTGTCTATGCTCTTAAAATTAGAAACAGAAAATTTAGAAGACAAAAAGCCATATAAAATTTAACAAATAATTTATTTCCCTTGAATACAAAGTGAAAAATGAGAAAAAGTAACTAGATACAATGTTTCTATTATTTTATAAAAACAAAGTTTTAAAAAGTCATTTCAAGACAGTCAAATTCAGTAAACAATGTTACATTACAATAGCGTGTATTGGAATTTTTAAAAAAAGTTTAACACAAGAAGAAATCTTGTACAAAATATAAATGAAACTTACTTCTATACAAGTGAAAATGCATCTGCTTGCTATTAAATTGTCTTTTCCCTTGCTGTGCCTGATGTCAATATTATATTTCTGTAACATCAGATTCCACCTTAATAATGATTTTTATTCTTGCCAATGAAAGTAAGGGGGTTGTGGTAACTAAATACAATAATCGGAGACTAATGTGAACTTCAAAATGTTGTAACGCAAGTATCTAAGCCAAAAACCATACCTTCTCTATTGTAGAATACTTTATTTGGTGCTTATTTAATTTTATTAGAAAAATAGCACACTTTAAGATTTGCACCAATAGACATTTAAATGATTGACTGAAATTTGGAGCTGTAAAAACTGGTGCACTCTTACGTATGGCCTTTAACCTACCAAAAGCCTCCTGAAATTTTTCAGTCTTGGTTTTCTTACTAAATAAATTTATCAGGTGTTAAGCAATTCTGGAAAAATTGGAACAAAATTTCCGATAGTATCCAACCATACCCAAAACGTGCCTCAGTTGCTTTTTACCGACACCCACAGGGAATTTAGAGCTTGCATAGACCTTATATCATCTATTTGTTAACTTGTCCCCAGTTTGTCCAAGAAACACAAGCACCGCAGAACTCACTTTTGGATAAATTAATTCTCAAACTTGTTTGGTGAGTGTCAAAGAATTTACGAATTGTCGCTAAATGCTATTTCCAGGTGTCGTAGATGATGACATCAATGTAAGCATCAGAGTTATCTAGAACAGAGGTTATCGTATTCATTAAATGTTGAAAAGTAATTGGTGAACCTTTCATCCCGAATGGCAATACTTTATATTGATAAGAGACCATCTGGAGTCACAAATGCCAAAATTTTAAAAGTACTAGGCCAACCTTTTATCACAAATGGCATCAATTTATGTTTATAAAGTCCATCTGGAGTCACAAATATCAGAATTTACATTGCTCTTTCCATCAGTGGAATATGCCAAAATCCTTTCATCAGGTCAAATTTGGTGATATACTTTGCATTTCCAATTGAATCAATGCAAATCATCGATTCTATGTAATGGAAATCAGTCTGTTTTAGTCGCACTGTTCACCTTTCTATAATCAGTGCACATGCAGAAATTTTATCTTGTTTCAGAACAAGTATACATAGTGAACTCCAGTCACTTTGACTCGGTTCTATGAAATCATTTTCCAGCCAATACTTATTTTCTTTTTTTCAAGTATTCCTGTTTGAGAGGGTTCGTCCTGTATTTGTGTTGTCTCAGGTTTGGAAATTACAATTTCAACATTATGGTAAATTTTATGTCCTTATGGGAACAGCTGGAAATAAATAACTTAAGTTCATTCCTTGTTGCAAATGTGAAAGTTTATGGTCTAATATATATATATATATATATATATATATATATATATATATATATATATATATATATATATATATATATATATATATATATATATATAAATTTAGATAAAGTTCGTCGAAGAATCAGAAGAGTATCCGTTTTTTCTTACAGCAATTCCAGTCATACCTCTTGCATCGCCATTTTTTCAATGATGTAGCTCTATCTACACGGTTATGAGTGACACCTTTTGTAAGAGACCTTGAACTCTTCTTGCCCCCCCTCTCTCTCTCTCTAATTATAGGTAAAAACATTTCTTAAGTTATAAGTATTTCCTTCTCATAGTATGAAATGAGAAGACGGTTATGATGACAACGTTTTCTTAACAGCAACACATATTTTCAGGAAAGAAAATACAACTTTTTATTTAAAAATTACCTAAATCACTGTACTTCGTTTGAACTGTACCCATGAGTATTCTACCCTTGTCTACCATGGACCGTTTTCCAAATTAGAAATGATAAAAGGTAAAATTTAACCCTTAAAATGATATTACTTAGTGCTAATTTCATATGACATCAGTCGATTAAATGTGATAAAACAGTAAATATATCAAATGGTGGTGTTTTTTTGTTTTTATTTTCTAACAGTGTGTACCTTAGGTTGACATGTCACTCATTGCACTCATTAATATATTCGTCTTAATGCGCAATTTTGTGAAAACCAATAGCGCAATACCTCCAACACACAACAATTATAACTTTTTTCTTTCTTTTTTTTTTATCCTTTTCAAACATCGGCATATATGCCTGATTCAACTTCGATAATTATTCAAATTGTCATAAACGAGTACAAATCTTGACGTTTATATAGAATGAAAAATTGTTGTTCTTGTAGGGTGTAACGCAATTTTTCAGCACAAGGCAGGCTATACATGGCAGCCATTGTAACTGGAGGAGGAAGAACCCTGGAAAACCCAGGGAAGAATCACCGACCCACGAGTTTAACTGCTGGCAAGCTTTCTCGCATAAAGCCTCGTACTCAAACCCACGTAGACAGAGGTGAGATGGCAGTGATCAGTAACTGTGAGCGCTTTAGATCATTCGGCCGCTCGGGGTCCCAGAATGTGAAGAAATAATAGTACCTGATGAATAATGTGCACTGAATCTGCTAACTAAATTGCAAGAGTGCACGGTTATTTTAACTGGAAAAATAGGTGAGAAAACAATCTATGTTAGCGTTTGTACCAAGACAGTAAATCTCATTCGCGGGGTTATATTATTTGTCTCGTCAGTGACAGTTTATAGTAATGTCTAGCACTGGGGCATCATGCCGCAGACATGTGGCATGATGTCCCACCCAGTCACATTATCCTGACACCAGGCCGACCAGTCCTAACCTCTTACTGCTGAGCGCCAAGCGAGACAGCTGTTAGTACCATTTTTGTAAGTCTTTGGTATGACTCGACAGGGAATCGAACCCACAACATCTCGCATCCGAGGCGGACGCCCTAACCACTATGCCACTGGAGCGGTTTCATTCGAATTGTAGTAAACCATTCGAATTGAATACGATATAAATTTAACTCATTATATAAAGACTTGCTTTTGAACACGACTTTTATGCTAATTTATCTCCTTTAACTTTTCATTGTCAGAATCGTGCATGTTTTTTTCTCCATATTTAGAGGCCATATATTGCACGACACGTTCGTCTAAAATAGTATAATGTATTAGGAATTAGGAACTACTTTGCAAGTTAACCATGTACACTAATGTAATAGACGATTTATTAGATTTGTTTGTGGATGAAGTAAGAAGCTGTTTCGTATATTTGAAAGAAGAGATAAAGTACACGCTGTGGACGAATTTACCGAGTCAGAAATTAAACTTTTAAACAAGTAAACGAATGAACGCGAGACGCAGTATTGAAAATATTAATCTGATTCATTTTAACAGTTATTTAAGAGAAATCTTCGTAACTTTTCTGAAATGAAATGAAATGGTTCTGATTACGACTAGTGCTCTCTGGGTATATAAAAATAGCATAGAAAAGTTTAATGAAGACCAGTGCTATCACATATCTATAAGAGACGAACCGTTTTATAACTCAAATTAATAAATTCGAGAAAAAAGGCCACTGACAGTTTTAGTAGGTCCTCAGATTTAATAAGTCAAAACGACGAAGAATTATTTCCGCTGGCTGAATGGACCGTCACACACGAGCTGCTTTGCAATTGTCAACGTTAACTTTTGGATACAAGGTTTCGGATACATCTTCAATCACATTCTCTTTACTGCAGTCAAAATGAAATTAACGTAATTTTTCATAACATCATTTTATAATTTCAAATAAAAGATCCATATTTTTCCTACATTACGATTCCAAATAATCAATACCATAACAGAAACACATATGCAGTCGATTCAAGGTGGGTCCTTCCCTGTTCAAATCACACGCACTTCATGTGGAACTGACAAAACTAATAAACAGAAAAGTAGAATGGAGTAGAATCGACAAAAATAAAATTCATACATTCGTGACCAACTGGAAAGGTTCTTGAAATGCTCATTCATTCACAAAATGACTGAATTTTTATTTTAAGTAGACCAAAACAATTCGTTTTGAAACTGATGTCTGGCGCACGACGAAGTTCAAAGGTGTTATGTGCTCATTAACATGGTTATTATAATACGATCAAAATCTATATGGCAAGTAAATGTGGAAAAAAATCGGATTTTAAAATCAAGTTTGACAACTACTTCATTACAACAAATTATAAGACATGTTGACAACTCAAAACTATTATTCTACACAAGCGCTGCTGCATTAACAGTGACCCGAATTTTACTTTTTATTATACAAAATCCCATTGTAACTAAACTGCAAAATTCCTGCGAAGGCAAACCCAGATATGACGAATGTTTGAGAGTATTGAAAAGAAAACGCAACACTGCCAGGATTAGATTGGTATACATCTTAAATTTACAAAACGTTTTGATTTATCTTGCTTCTTCTATGATCGCTTAATTAGGCTTTGGAAATAATTGGCGACCGATTTCCTTGCTTAATTTAAACTATAACATTGTATCATCATCTGCTTTTGTAAATTTTATTAAGCCTATTATGAAACTTAAGTTAACGAGACACAAAACCGACTTCTGTCGTAAAGGTTTCTTGGCAACTGTGCGAGACTTGCATCGTCCACAAAGCAGAAGACTACGTCATTGGAGACATTCTATTGACTTACTTTGAAAAACATTGATCTTTTAGAATGTTTGTTCATATAAAAAATGTTCAAATTCTTTAACTTTGGTTATTTCTTTTAAACATACAAAGTTGTGTAACCAGTACCGGCTATATATTGCTTTCTTCTCGCTTCAGAAGGGAGTAGGACATGGGGACACTTTCTCCAAACTTTAAAAAAAAAAATTGTTTTGAAGTGTTTAGCTCTGTTCTGCTTTTAAATATTACCCAAACATTACCCGAATATAAATCAATAACCTGATTTTTTTTGACAAATCAATATGCTGACGATTCCCTGTTCTAGATGATAGTTATACTTCACTGAAAAATGATCTCTATATCCAAATTTAGAGACCTTTGGTTTAAATCTAATTTCTCAAGAAAAAAAAACGAGAAATATTGTTTGGAAGTCTGTTTAAATGCTGCATAAAATTGTCACCAGAATGAAATTTACCCAGGAGTCACAAAGGCATATTTAAGATACCTATCATGTTTTTGGATCTGAGTGCTGCAGATCAAAGTTTGAAATGAACATGCATTATATTAAAATATATATATTGAATAACCGGGTTTTGCGCCTTTTTCATATATAGGAAAATTTACCATAATATATTACATTTTTTATATTTCCAATCATTATCCATCCTGGTACTGTTTTACCTAGACCACCAAAATGTATTATCCAAGAATATTTTTTAGTTTTCTTCGGACTGGTAAGAAAGAGAATTTAAAGATTAATAACTATAAACCCCTTTGATAATGGATGCCTCTAAATGCAATTTAAAGCATCTTTTGAGAAAACTTTAAAAATATTTTGGGCAAAGAAACTCCATGACCCACCAAATTTCCACCATTTTGTCCGATGTAAATCGATTCATTTTTAAAAGCTATGGGCGATATGTGAAACGGATATACTAATTTATTTCCGGCATGTACTTTTGTCTTCATATAGCAAATCAATTTAACCCTTTCTGGAAAAATGCCTTTTATAACATGGTCTTACTTTGTGGCAAGCTCTGTGGTTCAATAAAAATAATCAATTTATAATAAAAGATATTAAACAAAAACTGGTATGAACGTGAAATCGCGCTCTTCATTAAATCGTTTTCAAAAATGGCGACTTTTTCAATTTCCAGAATTTTAAAGGAAATATATTTTTTAAATACAACGTCATTGTTATGGAATTTTAGACGCTATACGCCAGAGATGGAAGCGTGATTTTCACATGAAAACCTGTGTTGGTTGTAAATAAAATACAGAGTTCTAACAAAATAACGTGCAGAGGATTCTAAAAGATTTGTTACATGGACCACAAATAAATTATCCTTTACATACGATACTAAATGTCCATTATTCTTTAGAAACGCAATTCTTGTGAAATATACAAGGGCATCCTCGGATTCTTGCAACTTTTGTAAAGCAAATTCATAGTAAATTCTACATCTTATGTGGCTGTGTCAATACGTACAGATAATTTGGAGACGAATAGAAAATGTTGGGCAAAGAAAATGGAACGTCCAAATCAAAGCTTTAAAGATACACTTAGTTTTATGGATGCAAATGACTTGAATAACGTTTGTCATGTGTTTGTGTGTGTGTGTGTGTGTTTCTAAATTCAAAAATTGCACACCCTTCAATAGTTTGTGTCGCATCAGCCCTTAAAATTGCTTATGGTATAAAATGCAGTCCACAGTACTACCTGACCCCTCTAAACTTCCATCAGAAATGGATTATTTTAGAATGTACACCAAATTTCGCGTGGCAGCGTATATACGTATTTGTGTTAATAACTTGACCCATAGTCCGTAAATGCCATTGTTATTATCAATGATATTTGAAAAATTGTATGCCTGTGCAACAAAAGAAATTATTTTTTTTAGTCTTTCTTGTATTAATAATTTAATTTATTTCTGTCTGGAATGAATTATTTGCTATTGTAATTAGCCAAGAAAAGTGATGCCCACGCCTCGCCTATGCTTCCGGGGAGATTCGAAAACTACCAGTAATGAGACGACCTTGTACAAACACTGAATAAGAGTATCAGCTTATAACATACTTTTGTAATTGATTTCTCTTGTCTCCATAGATATCTAGTTAATACGTTGGACTCGGAGTCACAATAGGCGGACCATATGGTGCAGTTTATGTTAACGTTTGGAAACTAAACTGATGGCACGTTCTGTAGACTACTAGATAAAATAGAACTGTGTCGAAATGCCAGACAAATGACTTTGGCTTTTTCTAACAGATACATCGGTATTCAACCATAGCATCCAGTCGATGGTTCAGGAATTCTCATACTTTTATTCGTGAACACGATTCAAACATTTTTTAGCACAAATAGATAGTACTTACATGTAACAAGATTTAGTGTAATCATCAATAACATTTACATAATGCCATCATTAACAACTTGAAAGAATTTGACGAAAACAATATTGTGAATACAACCCGGTTACACAATTCAATGCAAACAATAACAGTTAGAAAACATCTATATATGAACAATATTGTAGCTGTACTAAAATAAAATGTTCTAACAAAGGAATTGTCATCTTGACAGTGCATTAACAAAGAATGTTGAAACAATGTCCTTGGGTGCCCACATCCACGAGAGTTATTGTCATAAGTTTGGAGTCTTCATAAATGATTTCATTTGAACAGACGATCAACTGCGGATATATCCCTATAGTTTTATTAAATTCAATTATAACTGCAGCTTGAGCTTAATTGTTTTATTTAGGTTTTCGGGATTTTTGGCTTGGTTTGCATGAAAATTTAGGTAAATCGGAAAGCAAAGGGTAAATAATTTGTATACAAAGCTTTACACCGGGCCGATGTGAGGGAGCGACCATTTAACCACAAGAGAAGAGATGGGGGCTGGGATTTTCTTTTATATATATAACAAATATCTAGAGATATTTTTCATTAAAGTTGTTGGACAGAATTAGTCTTTTATCTACAATTCTGAGGAAAAGTTTTGCGCAAATATTGTGTTGCCAGATATAGACTGCGAATGCGTGATGTAGCAAGTCTACGTCAACAAATTTGCAATGAACGAAGTTCAAAATGAAAGCTTAACTTAAACTTAACTGAGGCGACATTTCATGTGTATCATGCCATAAACGTGCTTTCACAAGAGCTGATGATCTGGCGTAGATTGAGCTTACTCCTCATCTGAATAGCTTTGTTTCACGTGGCCAATGCTGTCCCATGCTGAGACAGCGTCATGTACGCAGTTCTTGAGAGAAACTGGAGGGAGTCTCCCCACAAAAACGATGGCAGA